TGTAGAAAAATGGCATTTTATGTAGCTAGGTATAAATCTAGTTGATGATATTTGTTGAGGGGAGAGTTAGGGGCCAGGTGTTGCCTGGTAGCTTGTCTTCCAGAATATTCTTTGAAAGAAGTAACGTGAAAAGTAAGCTTTCTTGGGGACTATGTGACTATTGTTGGAGTGCCAGCCTTGGACATGAAAACCCTGGGTTCAGTTCTTTGTCATGCTGTAGACCAGTGGTCACCAACCAGTAGATCTTGGAGTCGATCTGAGGCTGGGGTGGGGGCCTGAGTGTACACGTGTATGCACGTATATGCCCCAGCCCAGCAGATCAGTCCATGGGGGAGGGAAGGGTTAGGGGCTATCGAGGCCCCCATGGTCAGGGACAGTGCTGCAGAGGCAGGAGCAGGTGTAAGCTGAGTGGGGCCCTGGCTGGCCAGGACTTGCATGCTGGGGAGGTGTGCCCCCAAATAATTTTTTCTTCTTCTGCCTTGATCTGCCCCTCCCTTCCCTCCCCACAGACTTAACTGTTGGGTGGGGTGGAGGGGCAGGGTGGCAGCCCACAGTAGATCTTGGGTTGCTTTTAAATGCCAAAGGTGATCCCCTACTTTTAAAAAGGTTGGAGGCCACTGCTGTAGACTCCCTGTGTGACTTTGGGGTACATCTACATTGTCTAAGGGTGGCATTGCAACTTGTTCAGATGTGTCTGAATTGGATATTAAACTGACTAGCTAAGGCACTAAGTGCAGTGTGGCTGTGGCCCAGGCTGACTTGTGCAACTGAAAGTAGTGGAGTTAAGGCAGCACAAAGTATGGCAGCCTGAGCTAGCCTGGATGTATGAGCTGCAGTTGCACCTTTGTGTTGCATTTTAGAAATCCCATACTATCGTGGTGTCTGCCTTCTCTGTCCGCAGCAGGGGAATGATTTTTAAGCTTTCATGGCAGTGTTGGTCATACAAATACATGAGGGTAAGGGGGATCTGAACTGCTCAGACAGAATGTTTATATGGTCATCTAACATACCTCCCCTCTCTTCTTTGCCTCCCCCACCCCCAACCTTGGCCGTATCTTTTTAGAGTAAATAATGACAATTATAACTTTTTTTTTTATTGGTAGGAGTAACTGAAATGCAGAAGTTGGGGGTTCCACTGCACCCATCAACTTTTCCATGCTCAAAATGTCTTTAGGAGGCATACAAGTAGTGTTGCACTTGTTCAATAACCCATTAAGAGAGAAGTGTTCTTGTTGACCCCATTATGAGGTAACAGTAAATGTTATGTAGCAGTACCTGTTACAATCCTTTAACATGTGGGGTTTTGTTTTGTTTTGTTTTTCTTTGCCTTTTGTTTGTTTGGTTTTTTTCCAGTGCATTTTGTTCACAGTGCAGTGTAGAAAACTGAAATTAATTTTTGGATCTAGCTATGAACTGTAATATGTTTTCACCAGGATTCTGTTCCTTAGTATCGAGAAGCTTCAATTTCAGTGCAGCCACTTAAACTAGCTCTCAAAAATATTTGGAAGAAGCATTCAGCTTAATTGAATTGTGCTGCTAAAGAGTCTCTTAACTAATGGGTCACACCTTTTTTTTTTAAAGATGCTAATAAGGTTGGTCTCTCAACATACTTTGAGGTAAGCTAGTATTTATTTCTAGCTTGCCTAACGGAAACTTGAGCTCCAACCAAATTCTGATGGGTATTGAACATGAGACCATTTCCTTAAATAAAACTTGAACTGAAACTGGAGTTCAAGAAAGATTGGGGGATTTTTGGCTGTATAGTTGTGGAGCTCAGATGAAGAGCCTTCAAGTGTGAGGAGACTGTGGAAAGAGAATTATAGGAGCATTCAATCCAAGTCCCTTGTTTTTGGATTAGACCCTTGTCTATGAAGAAGTTCACTCTCCCCCCCCCCCCCCCCCC